GCCCAGCAGCGCTTCCACCGGGCCGCGGATCGTAATCGGAATGTCGAGATCAGTGAGATAAGGCCAGCTGTTCTTCTCGGCTGACCAGCCCATTGAATGATTCGATACATTCAGAGTCGGCGTCGTTTGGACGTCTCTGATAACGTGCCTTTCGTCGCTGCTGCCCACAGGCTGGACTGAGAAACTTACGCGCCGTGATTGGAGCCGCTCACTTCCGTTTAGCGATGCTCAGGACCAGCCCGTCCGAGGGCCCCGATATACCGAGCCGGTCACAGAGCTCGTCGGCCACCAGCGTGACCTGGCTCCCGAGATCCAGGAGAGCGTGGATCGTGTGACTCCCCGAGGGACCGTGCACGGTGATTGGCACTACTTGTAGTAGAACCTGGCTGCGTGGCTCAGTCGCCGCTGTGCCGACGTGTTAAGCGTCTGTAGCCGGCGGCGAGCTGTCAATCTTATTGTGCCGTGGGAACACTCGCATGCCAATGTAGAGCAGCGTATGATGCCGTCTCCCGCAGCGCTCGGCTTCGAATCTCTTGTCTCGCGGGCAGCTGGCGCTGATGTGACCGCAAGACAGGCAGTTAAAGCAGAGTCCGCTTCTGCCGACAAACTTTGCCCTCTCGCTCACCGTCAACGCCAGGAATGAGTCACAGCACTGTACGTTATGTGCACCTTGGCACATGGCACACGCGTCACGTCCCGCGGCTGCCGGCGGGTTAATGGTCGCGATCTTCCGCGATTTTACGGCAGTTACAGCTGACGCTGTGGCGAACACTCGCTTCGGTCGGCCTTCTTGGTTGTTGCCTTCGACATGAGGTGACGGCTTGTGGCCCGCCTGTGTCGAGGCCACACGACCAGTAGCGACATGCCGACGCAGCCACCCGTCGAGGTCGATTAGAGTGGAGCGAGTGATGCCGTTCTACACGACATACTCTCCCCATCTCCATGCCAGACTGGCAGGAAGTTTGTCGGCCACAGCTGTGACGTTTGTGGCGGCGGCGAGGTCTGGTTCGTACTGCAGACACTGCAGGACGCTCACTGCAGTGCGCAGGTCTCGTGACAGCTCGGTCAGAGCAAATAGTTTACCATCTCTGACCGGTCGTGCCGAGAGGAGCTTTTTCATACTTGTGTGTGTCACACGCGCTGGGTCGCCAAATTCCTCTTCTAGCTCACGCAGGGCTGCACCGCAGAGGCTGGTGTCACAGAGCATTCCACGGGCCGCCTCTTTCGCCGGCCCAGTCAGGTGTGCCTGCAGATACATCAGCCTCTCAACGTATGTGAGGTCGGCGCGGTCGTGCACCAGCGCCTTGAACAGGGCGACCCATCTCGGCCATTCGAGAGCGGAACCGCTGAACTTGTCTAGCGTTATCCGCGGCAGATGGGGATTCACCTGCCTCTCAGCAACGGTCTGGCGCTGCAGCAGAGGTGCCTGTGCAGGCGAGACATTGGCAGGCTCTGCACTGGCTGGTCGCACGTTCGGTTGCAGCTGGGAGAGCCAATCCCTGATGCGTGCGGCTGAGACGTCCGACTGCGGTTGCTCACGCAGCTGCACGGGAGGCTTAGCTGTAGCTGCCGATGGGCCTCTGACGAATGACGCAGCGTCGCCGGCGCGCAGATATTCACGCTCCTCCTGCTCCAGCAGCTCCAGCTCCAGCTGGCGGCGCTCCGCTTCATCCTTCAGCTCCTGAGCTTCGAGAGCTGCCTTTGCCTCCTCCTGTTGCCGCGCCAGCTCCGCCTCTGCCTCTGCTTGTTGCCGTGCCAGCTCCGCCTCTGCCTCCGCCTGTTGCCAGCGCCAGCTCCGCCTCTGCCTCCGCCTGTTGCCGCGCCAGCTCCGCCTTAACCGCCATCGTGCGCTGCCCCTGTACCGCCTGGAGCTTGCTCAGCGCAGATCGACGGCGAGCTTCGCTGAGGCGAGAGGAGGCTGTGCTGGCACCAGCCTCGCTCCGGGTGCGGTAGGACGTCCTGCTTCGTTTTGAT